GAGCTAGTTTGACCACCTCAATAGCAGCCCCGTGAAGACAGGTTGGTTCCCACTCCCACGGGTAGGAGACCCATGTCTGTAGGCTGAGCTGGTCACTGCTCACGTGGGGCAGGACTGAGAACAGAACCAGGTGTCTACCTCCCAGCAAGCTGCCGTCTCCCCAGCAGCTCCCAGAGCCTCCCTTTTGTGAACAGCTGACTTTAGTGTTTGGTTTGGGCTTGAGATGTTAAACAAATAGTGTCTCTTGACAAACGCAAGCCGGCTGCCCTGGGACCAGTTATGCTCTGTAAATCCAGGCTAATCCTCCATGTCTCTCCCTACAGAAATGCACCAAGAAACACCTCAGTCACACCCTAAACACCCTGAGTTCCATTAGCTTTCATCTTGCCATCCGGTGCGAGGTCTCTACATCAGCTGCTTTCCTGTCTTCTCTGCTGCAGCTCCTGGGCCTGCGGGGCCCCTTCCTGTCCCAGGCCTGCCGCTGGCTCAACGTTGAGGTGACTCTGAATACACCTGCCTACAGCGAACTGTAGGCCCAGGCCCTGCCAACCCTCCTGGCCCAGGCAGGCCTACTGGCATGGATGGAGGGGTGTTCACAGAGCGCCTTTCTGTGTCAGGTGCTGTACCAAGGACAGTGGGGCAGAGGGATGAGTAAATCCTTTTCCCTGCCCAGTTGGACCCTATGGTGTGGTCTAGATGGGGTGGAGCAGAGTTTCACATGAAGCTGAAGTCCAGCTAGTAATCAACCGAGTCAGGATTTGAGCTCATCTATCTGACTTAGGGTCAACTCTTATACTCCCTACCTCTCTGCCCCCTGCCCTTGTCCTCCAGGTAAACTGGCCAATAAAGAGGAGCTTCAGAGCCATGGACAGAGGGCCCCTCATCCTTCAGATCACATTCTTGACCATTGCACAATGAGCATTGCTGGTCACAGGGCCAGGCCTGTCATTAACAGCACAGGATGTCAGGGCAAAAAGAGACCTTTTGAGGTAGTCAACCCTTCCCCGTGTGCTTCCTCGGGCCTTTGGATGCTCACATCTGTCTTTATCCTCTTCCCCTAAACCAGCCAGGGCTTGCTTCAGCTTTAGAAGGGTCTGTCTGCAAAGACTCGCAGAAGCAGACTGCCAGGGTTTTCTGCCTGTGGACTCCGCAGTCTGTGCTCCTCCCCCTGCTGACACTGCTGGTCTCTAACCCAGCAGGTGCAGGATGCTACTGAGTACACAAGAAAACATGTGGAGCAACGCTGATGTGCAAAACGTACTCCCCACTGTGGAAGGCATCGTGTGGGTAAGAAGGGTCTCCACCCTGGAGAAGACAACAAACTGGTGCAGAAGACAAATATTAAAGGGCTGACTAATCTACTATGCAGGAAAAGTATCTAGTGAGCTGAAGCTTAGACAGGGTGCCTTGGAAGTACAAAGAAGCCAGTGGTTTTCACTGATAGCAACTAGGGAATTCTTCATAGAGGAAGTAGCTTCTGAGTTGGGTGTTGAAGCCTGAGTAGGAGTTCAACTAATAGAAAGTGGAGGAGCTGACATCCCAGGTTATGGGAGCCACGTGAGCCAGGAGTGAAACGTGAAAGTAGTTGGAAGCACCTAGAGCTTAGAAAGGAATGGAGTGAACGATAAAGCTGGAAAATATTATGTGCACAATATGCAACAACAAATGATAATTAGTGTATCATTTATCATAACTCATATTGTGTCTTTTTCCTCACAAACTAAAGTCTTAAAAGCAGTGGCTAGAAATGTCCTCTCCCCTGATCCTTGGAAGAACCACAGAGGCAGAAGCAGGCCAGGAGGGTCATGGGAGGCTACAAAGGAAGAGAGTGGGACATGTCCTGCTCCAGACCCCTCTGTTTGCGGGTATGCAGGCCGAGGGAGAGGGAGAGACTGGCCCCAAGTCCCCCAGCCCCACAGCCGCCCAGTCCGGGCCTCCCAACTCTTCGCTCTGTGTTCTTCTTATGCCCAGGATTTCAGAAAATCATCACACAGAAGGCAGACCAATACTGTAATTTAATAGATGTAGAAAAACAATCTTTAATTGGCCCAAAGCTTCCTCCATGTAAGTCACCAATGGACTGAGAAAGAAAAAAAAAAAAAAAAGAACATGGACTTGAGCTGAGCAGTCTTTCTTGTGTATGACAGACAAGGTGCTACCTGACCCTTGGCAAGTCCCAGGAATCTTGGATGAAAGGATGTCTTTGGCACAGTCCCCTCCAGGTCGAAGGGTGGCTAATGGGACTCTTGCCTAAAGGTCCCAGGGGCTACTTAGAAGCCTAGACAGGCACCAGCTTGAACCTCCCACCAGTCTCACCTCCTTAAGAGAAAGGGTGGGGGGCAGGGAGAGGAGCCCCGGGCAGCCCACCTGGGCTCCAGGGACACTGCAGATGTGCTGTGTTGCCCCCACTGGCGGGTGTCCTGATCCCACACATAATGAAGGCTACAGAAAAGACCCCAACCATGGGACATGAGCCCTGTCCCCCTCACTCCTTGGGCAACCTCCCTCTTACTTTTCGGGCCTCAGTTTGCTCATCCGTAACATGAGAGGGTTAGCCTAAACAATTTCTGTAGGTCCTTCCACTGCTGAAGTGCTGCGAGAACAAGATTCATCATAATTAATAATAAATGCCCTGCCCCTAAAGACAGCTCTTTCCTTTTTCTAAAGCTTTTGCGCTAATCATATCGCCTTTCATCTGCACAGCAGTCTGTCCTGGCACCCAGGAGCAAGCAGACCCTCAACACAGTCTCTCATGCTGAAAACCTGGTCTAACAAACCACTGCTCATCTAGACCGGCTTTGGGGGAAGTGGCCCTGGGGGGGTTGTGGCCGGGCACATAGAGCCCAACTTGCATCCCTACCCCTGAGAGCCAAGAAAGGCAATGTTCTTCTTCCAGAACACCAGAAGAGCCAAGGAGGAAAGCCTACAGGAGGCTGGGTTCACGGCCAATGGGGCAGGGACAGAAAGTTTGTGTCTTCAAAGAATCAAAGGTCTTAGGGGGGAAGGGGGTGCCAACGGGATGGGGGGCAGTAAGGCAGGTGCCGCAAATCAGGGCCCTCCCATCATGTTCTGGTCAGAGACCTGTGTCTTAGGAGAAAAGAGGATATTATAGGCCCCCATATTGTCCGATTTGCACACATGTGACCATCTCTGCTCCCTTACAACAATCTGTTCAAGAGCTAGCATAATTATCTATCCCACTTCCAGGTCTTGAAAAATGGAGGCTCAAGGGATCATGATGGAGAAGAGCATGCGCTCTTCCCAGCTGAAAGGTCTTGAGTGATTCTCCGTACTGCCTTTAGCCTCAGTTTCCCCATCTATAAAATGGACATAACCATTTCAGGATTGTGGCAGGGGATTGAGGTAATGAATGTAATGACGTGCCCAGCCTGACACACAGCAGATGCTTGATACACACTTGTTGAAGGAAAGAACGGGTCAGCGGCACTCCTGGGAAAAGCAGAGTAGTGTCCAGCAGTGACAGGCCAGCCCACGCTGTGGGCAGATGGTGCTCCCGTCTTGGCTGGCTGCCTGCCTCCTGAGCCTACTCTCAGTTCAGGACCTCGGGGCCTCTTTCATGTCTCTTCTCGTGGCCCGTGCCAGGGTCCCATGAAAGACTTTTGACCCTCCTTGGCAGTGGGCTTTGCATTCCAGTCATTCTGTTCACTTAGCCCATCCAAGTCTGGAGTTGTTTGCAGCTAAGCAAGGCCTGCGGGATCATCTGCCAGGGCACCTCCTCGAGGAGATAAGTAAGTGAGGCTCTGAGAGGGACAGTGACACCTCGCCTGTGGTCCCACAGCCTGCCCTGCCTCACCGCCACTGCCACCATGTTGGCAAATGAAGAAACTGAGGCACAGAGTGAAGCCCCCCTGGGCTCCCCCAGCCTGTCAGCAAGCCTCCAGCTCTGGGCCCACCTGCCCTATTTCATGCAGCGCTCACTTCTGCAAGGACGCCCCAGGGTGATGCCAGCATTGCCTCTGGAAGCCCAAGCCCAGCGTGGCCTGCCGGTGCTAGGCGGGGGCCACACCTGATGTCCAAACAGCCTGATAGGCTATGGGCAGCACGGTGCTCCCGGGACCCGTGCTCCTGGGGCCGGTGCTCCTAGCCTAGGCTGCCAGTCTGTGTTTTCTCAGCCAATCCTGGGAGCCATGCTCCCCTGGGAAAGGACACATTTTATGAGAGCAGGGTTTTCCCTTGGGTGTTGGCCCACGGGTGCCCAGGTCCACAGCTGCGCCCTTCTGTTTCTAAGACAGCCAGGAGCCTGGCACAGAGAAGGGGGCTATGGCCTGGGAGGAGGGAAAGCTTGGCTGTGTCCCAGAGCCGGCACTAACTCACTGTGTGCCTTTGCATGCCACTTGACTTGTCCGTGCCTCGGTTTCCTCATCCGCATAATGGAGAGCAGCAGCAAGGCCCAAGGTCCCTTCCAGCCACAGCATCTGTGATTTCTGTGGAGGGGTGCGGTGGGGTGTGATTTCTGTGGAGGGGTGGGGTGGGTTGGGGGATTTCTGCCTTGCCTTCCCTTGCTTTTCTGCCTCCGTGCTATCAGTTTATCTCCAGCTCTCCAGGTCTCCCTGTCATGGTCTGCCGCTCTCTGCCTCTCTCGCTCGGCATTTTTCTGCCTGCCTCTTCTTCTCCTGTGTCTATGAGTCTACCTCTGGTTTTTTCTCCGTGTCTGTCACACCCCCCTCTGCCTCTTTCTCTCTCTCTCCCTCTGTAGTTACATGCGTTTCTCTGTCTAGTTCTCTCGTTCTCCGGGTCTCTCTCTCCGTCCTGCCTGCTCCCTCCGCGGCTCCTGGCTCGCTCCCCGCCCCCTCCCGCTCCGCCAGCCCCCCTCCTCCCGCCCTCGGCGCGTCTCCCCAGTCCTTATTTGGCTGGGCGGGAGGGCTGGCGGGAGGAGGCGGCCTGCGGGCGGGGGGCGGAGGGCGGGAGCGGGGCCGGGCGGAGGAGGGCGGTGGGTGGTGCTGAAGGGACAGCTCCGCGGCGGCGGCGCCGTTGGCGGCGGCGGCCCCGGGGCGCGGAGCGGGTGCCCGGCGCGGGGAGCGGCGAGCGCAGCCATGCCCCAGGCCGCCTGCGGGGCAGCAGCAGCGGCGGCCGAGGCCGGGGCGCGGGCCGGGAGCGCCGGGGGGCCGGCGGTGGCCCGGGCGGGACGATGAAGCGGCAGAACGTGCGCACGCTGGCGCTCATCGTGTGCACCTTCACCTACCTGCTGGTGGGCGCCGCGGTCTTCGACGCGCTCGAGTCGGAGCCCGAGATGGTCGAGCGGCAGAGGCTGGAGCTGCGGCAGCAGGAGCTGCGGGCGCGCTACAACCTCAGCCAGGGCGGCTACGAGGAGCTCGAGCGCGTCGTGCTGAGCCTCAAGCCGCACAAGGCCGGCGTGCAGTGGCGCTTCGCCGGCTCCTTCTACTTCGCCATCACCGTCATCACCACCATCGGTAACTACTCGCCGGGCGGGGGGCGGGGACCCTGGGGCCGGTAGTCCGGGGACGACCAGGGAGGGGGCCCACCTGGGAGGGGCTTCCCCGGGAGAGGGTCTAGGCGCCGAACCCCGCGCTCCCAGAAACCCGACTTCAGCCTGGCATGTCAGTTCCGCGGGAACAGGACTCAGGGGAGGCATCGATTCCTGGCTCCGGACCTGACTCTCCGGCCGGGCCAGCCCCAACTTGTCCCTGCCAGGCTGCGCGGGGCCCCAGGGGACTCTGAAGTGTGTGAGAGGGGCAGGAACGACCGGCGGCGACAGGGAGGAGGGGTGTGGCCCGGCCAGGCCGTGGAGCGGGGCGCTAGTGGGAGCCGCGGGGAGCGGGGAGCGGGGAGCGGTCCACTCCTCTGTGTCCCTGCAGAGGGGCTTCCGCACCCGGTAACGACTGGGGCTCCGGGGAGACGAGTGGATGCAGGTACTTGGCTCTCCGGGCTTTCTGGGCCACTCTGGGTGCTTGAAACACCCTGGAACTGCAGGCTGCAAGTGCCTCTTAGTGTGTTTGTGTGTGTGTGTGTGTGTGTGTGTGTATGTGTGTGTATGTGTGTGCGCGCGCGCGTGTGTGTGTGCGCGCGCGCGCGCGCGCAGTTCCCAGAGTTTGGGCACCTCCAGCCAGTGCCTTTAATTTTGTTAGGGTAGCAGAGCTGGTGCAGGAAGCCAGATCCAGCCTTGTCTGCCTTCTCTGCTGTCCCAGGAAAACAGTCACCTCACAGGAATGGCCTCAGTTCTCTTGTCCGAGCCAAGGCCAACAGCAGGCTAGGAAGGCACACACACACACACACACACACACACACACACACCAGACTCACAACACAGGGACTCGTGCACACACAGGTGCACACACAAGCACATGCAAAGCACACACAGGCACAGACACGCAGCACACAAATGAGTGTCCAGGAAAGAAATCTCCAGGGAGGCCCTTGATGTGCTGTTCAAAGTGTCCAGACAGGAGTAAACACCTTACCCACACCCAAAACTCTGATTCCAGCCCAGCTCCGTCATGTCTCCTGCTGTATGACCTTGGGCAAGTCCCTTTCCCTGCCTGAGTCTCAGGCTCACCTCCAGACAACCAGAGGTTGGCGGAAATGATCTCAAGGGCTCCTCCCAGTCCTGACGTGCTCCCAGCCCACCCTCCCCAGAGCCCACTGGGATGCCTCCAGGAGCTGTTTCCTCCCTCCTTCCCATTCCCTCTCCGCTCCCTGGTCCCCTCCTTGCCTTGGCTGAGCTCCCAGGGGCTCGTTGCCACTTGGCATTGCCCATGACAAGATGGCAGTGTTTTCCTGGGAGTCAACAGGAGTCGAGAAGGTAAAAGGCAGGACTAGATGTTGTCCCTGCAGTCTCTCCACTGCAGAACCCTGTGCCGAGGTGCTGAGGCTCTCTGGGGACCACATGGAGCTATGCTGTGTGGTTTCTAGATTTCTCTCTTGGAAGAGGACAAAAAGGGGCCACAAGTGGATGTGGCCTAAATAGGGGCACGTCTGGGCTCTGCTGACCCTGCGAATTTGGAGCAGGATGGTCAGACTCAGGCTTGCCCGAAGTTAAGCAGCTCGTTTTCCTGGGACGACCCAGGCTAGGGGTCTCCTTCCCGCTCCCGCCGCACTGCCACCTGCCAGGGTTTCAGGAGCACTGAACATTCACAGGCCTTCCCTCCCTCTCTTCCCACACATCATGCCCTTGGTTGTGTGCCCCCCTTTTTCTCAGCCCCACTATTCTCTGCTCCCCAGTAATCTCCCAATCGACCCTCTTGCCTCCAGCCTCCTTCCACCCGCCTCCCTGGACAATGCTGCCAGAAAGAATCTCCCCAAAGCGCAGCTCTGACCATTCCGGTCCCCACTCAGAAGCCCTCGATGGCTCCCCCTATGCATGGAATCTGGTCCACACTCCGTATCTCAAATTGTAAGGACCTAAATACCTGGCTCCAATCTCTATGTCCAACTTCAGTTCTCACTTCTCACTGACATGACCCGTCCGCTGCAGCCAGACTGTTCCCCGAGAACACCTAAGTATGCCTGTCTGACACGCCCTTTTCTCTCTCTTCTATTTATCATGTCCAAGCTAACCTTCCAGGTCCAGCTCAAACACCATATCCTCCCGAAACTCTCCCAGAACATCCCAAGCCACTGTTCTGAATAACCACAAGACTTACTGTCAGGATGGCCTGCATGCCCGTGGAGGCTCTTTTGCATGGTTATTTACATTTTAGGGGATGTGTTTTGTCTCTTCAACCACATTGTAATTAACCTCCATGCGGGAAGGGCTCGGTGGTGCCCATTTCTGTGCTTCCCGGGCTGGCCCAGTACCCAGGGCACACGTGAGCACTCAAAAGAGGTTACTGATGGGTTTAAGGTGTGCAGAAATGAAAGGGCATCGTCTTTTCCCTGCAACCCTGCCGTTTCCCAAAGTGCCTGTAGTCCTCACCAGGAGAGATGCTGAGAGCTGACAGACAGAGGGGCAGAAAGAGTGTGGTTCTGGTGATCATTTATTTATAAAGTGCTGGGCAAGGGGAAAGACAGCATCAAAGCACCACCCTAGTTCTGTGGGGACCACAGACTGGCACTGCCCACTCCCTGCCTCACTCAACCATCCCTGGCTTTTTGTCACCTTTTACTTTGGCTATGCTACCTGGCTGGAAGCTGTCAACAGGAGCTCTGTTCTAAGAAAAACCTGCCCGGACTGTGATCAGCTGGCTGGAAGGGGCCTTATATTAGAGTGATCTTGACCCAAAATCTGAAGGCAGCAGCCTCTCTCCACCTGATCCCTTTGGGGACCCTAATGGGTCTCTGGAGGCACCAGTAATCCCATCGGGATGGAATAATGACAGAACCTCCCATTCATTCAATAGATCACAATGCACTTTCATCTCCTGTTTTGATTCCCAGCCTTCACAGCTCAGGGAAGTTTCCAGGGCAGACACTGTTAGCTTCATTGCCCGGATGAAGGCACGGAGGCTCAGGGAGGGGGAGGGACTTCCCCAAAGTAACGCAGCTGGTAAGCAGAGGAGTTAGAGCAAGAGGCTGGGTCTTCTGACTCCAAGCCTAGTGCTCTTTTCCCTGCTGGTCTCTCGCTGCTTCCTCTGCCTCCATATGCTGTGACGCCCAGAGCCAGCCAGGATTGTTGGCATGACCAAGATGTGCTCAGTGGTGCCAGCTCGCAGGACACCCACGGGCAGGCTTGATTGGTTGAGGGTCAGCAGGGTCTGCGTTAGTCATTCACCTGGTTAGTCACAGTCTCTGCTGGCTGCAAGGATTCCTCAGCTCCCTCCTCTCTGGCCTCCCAGCCAGGAAACCCTTCCTTTGTTGGGCCCTAAGTTCATCAAATGCAAACGGAAACTCTTTTCTGGGAAGCTTATCCTCTCTAGCTGTTGAGTCATTAAACTCCTCCGGGGCCCCAGCCCCATCTATTCATAGCCTGGAGGCTGTCAGAGCAGGAAGGGGCCTGGAGATCAGCTGGTGCCGCCCTCCCCTCACAGAGAGGCACTGGAGTCACCCAGCCTCCCGGCCCCCACCCTTCCCCTTCTTCAGGATGCCTCTTTATTTATTATTATCATTAACAGCAACCGTAATAATAGTGGCCACCTTTTATTACCTACTCTTTGGCAGGCTGAATCCAAAACTCTTTATTTGTATCCCCTCGCTTTATTCCCTTATCGACCCTTCAAGGTGGGCATTATTACCTACATTTTTCAGCGGAGGAACCTAAGGCTCTGAGTGTAAATGACTCACCCGTGGCCTTGTGAGTTGAAAGGAGGCACCTGCCCAGATTCAGCGGAGCCTCTCTGACTCCCATGCCCCGGATATTTTGCCAGTTCTTTTTCTGTTTTGAGAACTCAGCCCAGACCCTTGCATCTTGAGGGCACTGAGTAGCCACAGCTTCTCTTTCCTCTAACAAAACCCTCTCCAAAACAGCACAGCCAGCCTGCTACATCCCCGCATCCTGACCGCTGACTGACCCAGAGCATGTGCCAGAGCTGCGCCCAGCACCACGCCTACCTGAGCCTGCCAGGGGCTCACAGGTGTCCGTTCTCCCACTGCAGATCCCCAGAATCCTTGCAGCTCTAAGGCGACAGTAGACCAGGTGACCGGTTAGCTGAGGGGGCTGGAGCAGAAATGCTTCCAGCCTGCTCTCCGCTGAGCGCGGGTTCCCATTGCCCACCGCACAGCCTGGGACCCCTTCGATTATGAGTTCAAGCCAGCTGTTCAGGAAGGAGTCTGCACCCATTCCATCCTCCCAAGAAGGAGGAAAGTACAGAAGTGATCTGCTATCCCCGAACCACAAAGTCCTCAAATAAAAAAGTGAAAGGAAACATTAGCAATACCCAGAGAGGTGAGTCTCTTGCCTGTAGTCATACAGCAAGTTGAAGGTACAACCCTGATTAGAACCTGTGCCTTCTCTCCATCGTCCCAGCCTGTTCTCCTTAGTACTGGGGCTTCGGCTGCTTCTCACTCTGCTGTTCCCAGTCCTATCTTGACTCCCTGGGGAGATGAAAGGGCAGCCCAGCCTGGAACAGTCTGCTGCCCACCCTCAGTCAGCATTTCCTGCCTCCCTACGCACAGGCCGCCCCACTGCCTCAATCACACAAGCCCTGGCTGAGGCTGAGGGTTGTGTAGAAATGTGGGTACTGGCTCAAAAGCCAGAGTGCCTGGGTTCACCTCTCAGCGCACCTCTCCCCTGACCTCCACCGCCACCCGCCACCAGCTGTGTGATCTCGTACAAATTAGTCTCTCTGCGCTTGTTTTGTCTTTTAAAAAATGGGCAGATAATATCTGCCTCCCAGGATTAAATGGGATAATACAAAGAAAGTGCGTGGTACAGAGTAGGCACTTAATAAACAGTATTTGCAATTATTAGTGTTATTTAATATTCTTGTCTGTGTAGTATTACTCCCCCCACCCCGAAGGAAGCCGCAGTTTCCCAAGGATTACCACGACCACGACTACCTACTGCTGCTCCTTTCTC